GGCCCCCGAGGGGGGCGGCGCTGCGGCCAGACCGTGGAGTACCAAAGGGCCCGAATAATAAGAAGAAGAAAGTAAGAAGAGGAAGAAGAAGGAGGAGGAGGAGAAGCAGGAGGAGCAGGAGGGTAGCAAGAAGAGGAGGAAGGAGAAGGATGAAGACGAAGAAGTTGAGGAATCTCCGCCTCGCCCCTTCCACTGCCTGCCCGCTCCTCCTCATCTCCGCCCTCCCCACTCCTCCCCTCTTCCTCCCCAGACCTCCACTGTCGTGTCTTTAGTTCTCTCACCCATCCCCGGGCCGTGGTCTCCATCGCGGACCACTTGGTTGATCGGCCTGTTGCCCCAGAACGGCTCCCGGAGCACATATAAAGATTGCAAACAGTACCAAAACGCCAGGCGTGGTTTATTCTGCGCCGCTCGAGGTCGGGATTTCGTTCTCACCGAATCATTCAAAGTCAATCCCCCGACCTCGCCTATGTTGCGGTCCGACCAGGCCTTCGAAGCGAATCCAGCCATGCCGACGCGAGCTCTCCGTGGCTGCAAGGACAAGAATGCCATCAAAATCCGAATCCTCCTCCGCCACCTCTCCCTCATTCTTCTCCTTCTATTTTTGAGCAGGTCATCATTCGGGGCCCTTCTGGACTGGACGACACTTAGCGTCCTTGAAGCCTCTGGGCAGCTGACGGACACCACCCCGAAGTTTGGAGACCCGGAAAAAGAAGAGATCTTCGGAAAACCTCATTCTCCCTATCTCCTCATGTTCCCCCTCCTCCTCCTCCTCCTCCACCTCTTCCTCCTTCGCCTCCTCCTCCACCTTCTCCTCCTCTCCTCTGCCGCGACGTCGAGAGCGACAACCTCCACCACGGCGTCGAGAACAACTTCGACTATGACCTCAGAGAGGCCCACGGCTTCAAGGAGGCCGACTTGGGCATCAATGTAAAAAGTTGGCTTGGGTGCAGCGCGGCCGCAGCTCCAACGAGCTAGCGAGACCGGCCAACCTCATCACGTCTCGTCGTTATTCCTCATTGTTATTATTATCATGCTTAGTCTCCTCCTCCTCCGCCTCCTCCTCCTCCTCTTCTGTCTTTGGGTATGTTCCTCCTCGTCCTCCTCCTCCTCCTCTTCCTCCTTCGCCTCCTCCCACTATCCTCCTCCTCCTCCTCCACCTCCTCCTGATCCTGATCCTCTTCTTCCCGAAGCAGCGAAAGCCCCCATCTTAGATCAACGCCTCGGTCACAACTCGATTGCGATCGCCGTGGCCGTCACGGCGACACGCTCTGACAATCCAGGGAGAAGGGGGTTCGTTGGCCGTGCGCCGCTGGCTGCTTGCAGCGCACTCATGTGCCTCCAGCAGTGGGCGACGCAGCGCACGCACGCCACTGCTGGTTTCGTCAGCCGCCACCAACCTGCGGTGGCCTCGAGCTCCACGAGCCGATGGCCGACACCACCGCACTGCGCGATGAGGCGGGTGGCCTCGGCAGCTCATCCTCCTCATCCCCTCCGCCTCCTCCGCCAACTCGTCCTTCTGCTCCTCGCGTCTCCTCGCGTCGCCCCTCCCTTCCGCCCCCTGCGGCGGTAGGTGCAGCAGCTGCTGCCTCACCGATCCCGCGAAGAGCTGGCGGAGCACGCGGCGTGGCGCGCCGCGCACGAGGACCCAGCGGGCGCGCGCCGCGGCGATAGGCGAGGACAGGAGGAGGAGGGGAAGGGCCTGTGTAAACCTAAGACGCATCAACGATGTTGCAATACATCCACCCTCCGAATGTACGTTACAGGAGGTGCCCCACTGCAAGACAACCGTCTGGGATTCCTCCACCGTGCCGAACAATTCTTGGGACGGCAGCGCCGCGAATTAACATGATCGCTGCGTACTGACAGTCCTAAGCCGTGACAGAGCACAGTTCTTGGCATTTCAACAGCAAATTCACGCAACTGTTGCGTGCTGACAATCTCAAATCGCCCCAAAACACCACTCTTGGGACGTCAGCCATACGAATCCTTGAATTTGCTGCGGTCGTTGAGAACGAATGTGCGCGCGGCGCGAAGGCGACGAGAGCTACATTTCGAAAAGGAACCGCCCTCCAACCTTGAAACTGCTGCGAACTTTTAAAACGAATGTGCGCGGCGCCAAAGAAACTACATGTTGGAAACGTGCTGCCATCCATCTTTGAAACTGTTGCAAATTTCAAGCTCCAGGATCCTAAATGGTGAGGAACTCTCAGGCGAAACGCCCGGCCCGCCCTACCGACACTCCTGGGGAGCGACAGGGAGTGGTCAGTTGTAAGACAACGGGATAGGAGGAGGAGGAGGAAGTATTGTATTAGAGCTCCTGATCATTATGTTGTGTTTTGATGAACCGTTTTAAGTCCACCATCCGGCTGCACGCTTGGAACATCTTAGTATTGTTATTTCCCGAGCAATTTGCAGGAGGAGGATCAGGAGGGAGAGTATTTTTGACGAGCGCCCTGGACCCGAGAGCTTCGAGTTTGAAAAAGATGAGAGTACATGTTTAGTTTAACGATGCAGGATTAGTCCGATCCTCCTGAATATAGCTCACTTGGGCCCCGTTCGGCCTCCAATCGGAGGGCGACCCGAACTTGAAAGAGCCGGTCCGCAGGCTATTCCTGCTCGCCTTCGTCCCCCGAATCGGGCCCAACCACATATGGGTCGAAACGCTCGAACGATACAAATAGGATCTTAGGATACGTGCAGTTGCGGAGAGCGCGCGCAACAGAGGTGGCATGGTTGCCGAGGGCCCCGTTAAGCTTCGGGTTGGCAAACACCTCGCAACTTCTTGAACTGCCCTCCGCTTGGGAAACCGTAGCAACGGCAGCAGACGGAAAGCACGGACTCGCTGTTGCACGTGAGGTCGACGACATGGTGCCAACGCTCTCTGAAAGGCAAAGCAACCTCGGGCGGCTGACCCGCACGCTCCTGGACTAGAGGTGTCGCCTCTTGCCGGCAGAGACGGAGGCAGACCAGACAACGCCAGAAGTTTAGCACCAGGCTCACTCATGATGAGACGTACTCCCCGCGAGGAACGGCACACGAGGGAGGCCGCGCGTGAGGTCAGACGATTCGGCCATGAGGGCCTTCATGTTGTGGAGGGCCGTGAAGCCAGAACGGAGAGTACGAGAGCTACTTCGCACAACTAGGAAGAGGAGCTGTGCAAATATTGAGGTGGCCGCTGCAGCCCACCACACACAGGCTCCCGTAGGCGAGGCTCCCGAAATCCGCGGCCTGAGAGGTATGGGGAAGCTTGTCCCAAAGAGGGGCCCGCATCCTGCACTGCAGAATTCTGCGGCAGTGGAAGGCAGCTAAGCCCTGACCGGCCTCGCGCACTTCCTTTGTTACGTGCCGCCCACAAGAGTAATCAGAGAATTTTCGAGAACACGTCGCCAGAGAACAACTGCTCATCGTCGAAAACCTCGGGGACAAGACCATCATCTGAGCGAGGAGAACGTCGCCTGTTTCGGAACAGGTCCCTCTGGTGAACAGCGCGAGCACTTCTGCCGAGCAGGAGGCGAGGTCGATCTCCTGTGCTGCCGGAAGAATACTACTGCCGCATTCTTCCTGTCTGCGAGCCTCAACAGTTGGGCAGACCTACAGGCGGTGAATGGCGGGGTCGCAAGGGCCCCCCACCAAGAGCACAGCGTATCTCGGGGATCTGATAGTCGCATTAAACCGCCCTTTCTTGGGTCTAACAAGCCCTGCGAACATTCGCCCAAGTAGAGCTTCCTTCGAACGGGCAACAGCGAGAACTCTTCAAGCCTCAGGTCGCGGAGTCGTGGCAAGCCATATCCTGAAAACCAGTTGTCTGCCCCGAGAGGCGACAGCGGGCGCGGAGGAGACCTTCATGAAGCATTACCTTAACCAATTTGGGCGAGATGATGGGGACGGTAAATGCATCGCACCCATGGGCCCGCGAACTTGGCTCCACGAACGGAGGGGGGACGCCCAAGCCTGCCTCCATGCGAAGCGCAGGGTGGCAACACCCAGTGCGAACGGCGCCTGATCTGGCGATGGGCGGGATGGCAGCAGGTTCTATGGGACCCCCTTCCAGGAGACAAAGAGCAAAAAGGGACTTGGACCCGGCCGAGGGAGGACGATGATAAAGGGAGGAGGAAGAGGAGGAGGAGGAGGAGGAGGAGGAAGAGAAGGAGGGAATGGGGAGGATGATGAGGAGAAAAATGAGGGAGGAGATAGGGATGATGATTAGGAGGACGAGGAGGCAATGGAAGAGGACGAGTACGAGGATGAAGAGGAGGAGAGGGAAGAGAAGACGGAGGAGAGAGGACGGGGGAGGAGGAGGGGGAAGAGGAGGTGAGAAGACAGAGGAGAGATTCGAGGAGAAAGGTATGCGGGGTCGTGCCATATATGACGCCCTACCCCGTCATCCCATCCTTTACTATTGCGCAGAGCGCTTCTCCATCTACATCGTCGGTGCCGAAGACAGCGATCCCGACAGGGTAGACGCCACGCAACATCGCATGGCATAGCATGACGCAGGAGAGCACGACAGAGCGTAGCGTGGCATCGCATCGTGTGGCATTGCGTAACCAAGCGTTGTAATCAGAGCTTGCCTCCGTAGGGGTCTATAGCGGATTCATTTGGTTAGTGGAGGTATGGCGCCGATCTCGGCTGCACGCCAGGGTGCCCGGGTGCCCGGGTGCCTGGGTGCCTGGGTGCCCGGGTGCCCGGGTGCCCAGGTGCCCAGGTGCCCGGGTGCCCGGGTGCCCGGGTGCCCAGGTGTTTGGGTGTCCGAGTGCCCGGTAGCCATATCTTTTTATAGCCCGATAGCTTTATAGCCCTAGAGCCTTATAGTCCTATAGTCCTATAGCCCTATTTATATATAGCCCTGATAGCCCTGCCGCCCTATAGCCCTATAGCCCTGTCGCCCTATAGCCTTATAGTTTTATAGCCTTGTAGCCCTATAACCCCATAGCCTTGTAGCCCTATAGCCCTATAGCCCCATAGCCCTAAAAAGATGTTGATCGGGGCTGTTCTCCGGTATCATAGAGCATATCAGTGCATAGTAAGGCATAGCACCGCATCTCACAACACAGCACTACGTTGCATACCATGCCATGGCGATGCATACCATATCACGGCATGGCATTGCGTGGCCAAACATTGTATACCACATCAGTGTAGAGCAAGGTTGGCATGTAATAGCGGACATGACGCGAGCGATGCAGTGGGCGCGTATCAGAGGGGCCTCAACAAACCCTTTGAGTAGCCCAGGGCGGTCTCAACACCCCAAGCATGGGGCACCGAGCGCCCCAGGAGCGCCGCTGGAGGTGGCGCAAGGACGTTGAGACCGCCGTGGAATGGGGCTGCTGAGGCCAGGTGGGACTGCCTAGGGGGCTGGCTGTCTGTGTGCAACCCTCTAGGCCTCCCAGATGGGGTCGGAGTAGATGGGGTCGGAGGATCGCGCCACATCGCCGATGCATGGTGATGCGGCTCGATGTGGGGCCCGATGGGTTTCACGCCGACGGTGCCGATGCACCGCGGACGTCGCCGATGCATCGCCGATGCGGCGCGATCCTCCGACCCCATTCAGTCTGACCCCAGCTAGGAGGCCTCGAAACCCGAAGCCTTGCCATCGGCACCGCGGCGAGTTCCCCCTGATCCCGGGAGTTGGCCTTGCCGCACTCGCCGCCTCCGCCTCCGTGCAGGCCGAACGGCCCGGAAGCCGCTCGGCAGACCTCTCCCCTCCACGGGTGATGTACGCAGCCCTCGGGCGCCCCGGCCTCTGGGGGGAAGCGGAGGAGGAGGAGGAGGAGGAGGAGGAGGAGACAACGAGGAGGAGGACAAGGATACGGACGAGCAGGAGGACGAGAAATAGGACGAGGTGGGGGACGAAAGACGAGAAAAGAGGACGAGGGCGAGGAGGAGGGCGAGGAGGATGTCGACGACCACGAGGACCTGGGAGGGGGGCGACTGTGCGCGGGGAGGCGGGCGCGTGCAGTGCTGCGAGTCTGCACCGGCGAGCTCGCTGTCGCCGCCGCCATGACCGGATCGCCCCGCGCGCGTGAGCGGTGGCCGAGGCCTTTTGAAGATCCGCGGCGGCCTCCAGGGACCTCCGAAGATTCCGGCGGCCTCCGCGGGGGAACGCCTCCCGACTTGGCATCGCTCGGACGTGTGCGCTCTTGTCTCGGCAGGGATCATCGAGGTGCATCCTGGGTCATCCTGCGACGACAAAAACCACGAAACCGAAACATGCACGGAGAATGGACGTCCGAGCGATGGCGAGCCGAGGCCTGTCGCAGCTCGCTGCAGAGCGCGCGCGCGCGGCGAGGACCTGCAGCAGCGGCGCAGGGAGCTGCTGCGGCGGTGGAGGGCTCTGCAAGCGGCGGGCGCTCACCGGGGACCGCGGCCAGGGGCGGGGAGGAGGAGGAGGAGGAGGAGGAGGAGGAGGAGGAGGAGGAGGAGGAGGAGGAGGAGGAGGAGGAGGGAGGGGTCATAGCTCAGGAGGGAAAGAAGGACGTACACGTACACGAATCCACGGACTGGGGGGCCGTATTCTTGTACGCGGTTGGGCGCGTACGTCCTTCGTGGGCACCCTGATAGCAGGGGTGGGTAGCCCACAAGGCATGTTCGCGCCGCGTCGACGTGGCGGCGACGCCAGTGCGTTCGCTCGAGGTCGGACTGGCGGACGAAAAGTTTATAAAACTGCTTCTTCGGCCGATAGGAGCGCATGTCCCAGGTCGGCTGGGGAGTTTCTGCCCCCACGCACTGCCAGAGGAGGATAAACTCCCCAGCTGCCCTGGGACAGGGGCCCCCCATGGCGGAAAAGCTTATGTTGTCACCCTTCTTCCGCATCTATTTGAAGGCCATCGTCATGAAGCAGGCCAGCCCCGAACGGTCCCCGCTGCTGGACAGCGGCGGTCGCTCGAGATCGAGCGGATCTACGCGGTGTCGGGACGCATCGTCCACGTCTGCACGACGGGAGCCAGCCGTGCGCGCCCCAGGCTAGCAGGCCGCCTCGCGTGCTCCCCTCGCGTGCGCATCCCTGCTGCCCCTCGGTGGAGAAGGGCGGCGGCGGCGAGGGGGAACGGCAGCGACGGATGTCCACGTCGACGCGACGGGAACCAGGTGTGGCCCAGGGGGGCAGGGCGGGGGGGGGGCACTCAGCGACAGAGACCTCAGCCGAGATCTCCTCCTCCTCTTCCTCTTCCTCCTCCTCCTCCTCCTCCTCTTCATCCTCCTCCTCCTCTTCCTCCTCCTCCTCTTCCTCCTCCTCCTCCTCCATTCCTTTTCCTTATAGCTAACTCCTCCCTGTCGCACCCCGAGGCTGGTCGAAAGGGCGGGCCGGGCGGGCCGCCTAAAACTTCCTCAGCATGTATGACCTTGACGCTTAAACATCGGCAACAGCTTCACCGATGGAAGGCGGGTGGTCTTCAAAATGCGGATCCCCCCTTAGCACCGCGTGCATTCGCTTGAAACTTCAAGAATTTCACGGATGGAAGGCGGGTCGTTTTCAAAATGTGATTGTCGTTTTTGCGCCGTGCGCATTCGCTTTCAAGATCTACAAGAGTTTTTCGGATAGAGGGGCGGGTCATTCTCAAAATGTGGCGTTCGCCTTAGCGCCGCACAAATTCGTTCTAAAACTTCCACAAGCTTCATGGACTGATGGCGGGTGGTTTTCACAATGTGGTTCTCGCCCTAGCGCCGCGCACGTTCTTTTGAAAAGGCTGCAAGAGCTTCACGGATTGAAGGCGGGTGGTTTTCAAAATGTGGGTGTGTGTTTAGCGCCGCGCACATTCGTTTAAGAGGTTGCAGGGGTTTCACGGATTGAGATCGGCTCGTTTTCGAAATGTGGTTCTCGCCCTAGCGCCGCGCAAATTCGTTGTAAAAGGTTGCAAGAGCTTCACGGATTGAGGGCGGGCATTTGTTGTTCAAGATGTGGTTCTCGCTTCAACCCGCGCACATTATTTATAAAAAGTTGCAACAGCTTCACGGATTGAGGGCGAGTAATGTTAAACATGTGGTTCTCGCTTTGGCGCCGCGCACATTCGTATTAACAGTTTGCAAGAGTGTCATGGGTTCTCATTGTGAACGTACCCGAATGGTGTTTCAGAGCGATTCAGGATTGTCAGGGCGCAACAGTTACATTGATTTGCGATGTTGAGGTCCCAGGCACGGCGTTCTGGCCCGATTCAGGATCGCCAGGACGCAACAGTCAGGTGAGCTCGTGGCGTCGAAGTCCTGAGAATGGTGTTTTGGCACGCTTCAAGATGCTCACACGCATGACCCCCAACGGCGCAATCCCCTCAGTGGAAATGACCCGTTGTAGGGGGGATCTTGGAGGGAGAGTGTATTTCAACATCGTTGATGAGTCTTGGACTTGCACTGGTCCTCCTCCTCTTTCTCTTTCTTCTCCTCCTCCTCCTGTCTCCTCTCTCCGTTCTCATCGCTCCTCCCTTCTCTCTCATCTCTCTTTTTTCCTCCCCTCTCCTCCCCTCTCCTCTTCCTTCCTCCTCTTTCCTCCTCTTTCCTCTTCCTTCCTCCTCGTTCCTCTTTCCGCCTCATCCTCGGCATCCGCCTCCTCCTCCTCCTCCTCCTCATTCTCTTCCCCCTCTTCCTCATCCTCCTCTTTCCTCATCCTCCTCCTCTTTCCTCCTCCTCCTCCTCTTTCCTCCTTCCTCCTCTTTCCTCCTCATTCCCCTCCTCTCTCCCCTGCCGCGGCCGAACCGAGGAGCCGGGCGCAGTGCCTCCAGAGCCGCGGGCGGGCCGAGGCCAGCTCTGCCATGGCCCACAGCGGCGGCGACGGCGTTGCCGACGGCGACGGCGACGGCGACGACGCGGCGGCGACCATACCGCGGCGCCAGCGCTGGCGATGCTCGGACGGGCATTCCGGGTGGGATATCAATCGAGGGTTGGGCGACGAACCTTCCCACGGAGCTTGCCCATCCCCCCCCCTTCCTCCACCTCCTCCTCTTCCTCCTCCTCCTCATCCTCATCATCATCATCATCATCATCATCATCATCATCATCATCATCATCATCATCATCATCATATTGCTGCCCGCGGCTTTTTGTGGCTCTCTTTCGGGCCGCACTACCATTCTCAAGCTTCTCAGGTGTCCTGACCTGGAATGCAGGACCTCGCCCACCATGCAGCGGACGTCCTGAGGTTTGGGGCGCAGGCGCTTGGGGCCTCGCTGGTGGCGCGCGCTTCGGCGCCCAGTTGCGGGGACTGCTCTCCGCATTTGGCGTGCCCTGCGCCGCCGACCCTGGCTTGCCCTTCCTGCGTGTGCGCGGGCGCTGGCGGGCAGGTGGTGGAGCCCTCGTGCGCGGGCCTCGTGGCGGCCTACGCGGTGGCCGCCTGCACGGTCGGGCTCGCCGTCGGCGCTGTGGCAGGCGCCTTCCTGGCGCGCCGCGCGCTCGCACCGCCTCTCGAGCCTGCGGTTGGCGAGCTGCCCACGGAGGTGATCGACATCGCCGTCCTCGCTGCCGAGCAGGTGCGCCTCGCTCGCGCCAGAGCCCCAGCGCTGCAGTGATGGCGGGGAGCTTCCACGCCATACGCTACCGCGTCGGCGGTGTGGCCCTGTGGCACGAGCGTCTGGCACTCGGGGTCACAGCGGGGTTCGCCTACGTCGTCACGCCCGACTTCGACGACTACGACGAGCCGATCGTGGTTGGGCCCGACGTGCGGGCGGTGCTGCCGTTGGCTGGCCAGGGCGACGCGCCTCCCGCGCTGGTCGGCGCCGCCGTGCATCGCTTTCGGCGCTTGCCGTCCGCCGCGGAGCTGTGGGCCGCCGTGGGTCGCTCAGTGGATGCGGGCTACCCAATGCCACCAGATCCTCTTCCTCTGGCTCTCTCGGCGGCCAACGCGGCGGGCGCGCCTCCAGGACCCTTCCTTCTGGCCGACCCTGCTGCCGCGGCCGCGGCGCCGCCGGCGCCGCCTCTTGCACTTCCACCTGCGGCTGGTCCTGCTGCTCCCGTACCGCCTGGCGCCGTCCCAGGAGTCGCGGCGCTCGCCGCTGCGCTAGGACCCGTGCCACCTGGCCCTGCCGCGGCGCCGCCGCTGGCGCACGTGCCTGGAGCTGCTGCTGGCGGTCCTGCCGCGGTCGCTCCGCTCCCCGCGCCCGCTGGCGATTTCAGGGTGCTGCCGATGGCGATCAACATGCGGGGGGAGCGTGAGCGGAGGTTCGGCGAGACGGTGAACGGCCTCTCCGAGACCGAGGTGCAGGGCTGGCCAGTCCAGGGCCCACGGACGCTTCTCTGGTGCCTGTCCTTCATGTCCACCATGGCGGGAACTCCCACCGCGTGGCATCAGCGCTGGCTCACGCCCATGGCTTTGGCCGACGACGACGAGCAAGCCAAGCTCCACGAGACCTTGTGTCGGGTCCTGGACCTCGCCGTGGTCTGCGATCAGCTGCAGGTGGCAGAGATGGCGTCGTTCGAGATCGTCGCACGTCAGCTCCAGCTGCTGGAGGAGCGGGTGTACGAGAGTCGTTCGCTGCCCCAGACGGCCGCCGCTCCCAAGGCCAAGTCTGGAGCTAGGAGTGGTGCGACGGCCGCGGCCTCCAGCATCCCCGAGACGAGCTACTTCCTCGGCGCGGGCGTCTCCAAGGCGAACCTGTGCATCTCGCCGAAGCTGCTTGAGTACATTGCAGATCAGATGCGGGCGGAGGCCGCCATCAGCAAAGAACGTCGCAAGGCACGTGAGGAGCGTGCCTTGCGGGCGCCATGACGTCTGAGAAGTCCAGGCCTGGCTGCGGGGCGCGCCCCAGTGGCGCCAGTCAGGCACATTGCCCCATCGCTGCTCATCAATGGCGGCAGCGAGACATTTTCCTTCTCCGTCCTATCCCTGTGGAGCGGCGATCTGGTATCGCGTCGATGGGAGGTTCAGCCCGCGGACGGGCTGCAAAAGGTGCTGCCTGGAGAGAGTGGTACAACGATGCTGTGTCCACCCTCAACGACATGCACCACTGCGACCCTGATGACATGGTTGCTCCGCCTCCAGGTCTTCCTCCACGCGCTCGCAGCGACGCTGAAGAGTGCCTTGCTCAACAGTTTCGCGATTTTGAACTCCCCTCTGGATATTCCGAATCTCCTACCAGATGCGAGGCAGCCCTAGCAGAGTTGCTCGCGTCGGCGCCGGGGTACTCTGGTGAGTCTCGGGTGAGACCCTACGACAAGGAGCTCGTCTCCTGCAGCCGCTCTCAGGATGAACTCGGGCATCGGGTCGCCATACGTGGATCCTCGCCTGCGGTTTCGCCCTCGGGAGTATGCTGATTTTTCGCTGCGCCTGGATCAGGCGGGCATGCTAGAGTGGGAAGTCGCCGAACGTCAGGCGGCGTACTCCACAGGTTTCTTCTTCGTCGAGAAGTCGAATGGCGTCAACCTGCGGCTCGTCTTTGATACGCGGGTGGCCAACATGTCCTTCTCTGCCCCTCCCTCTACGAGATTGCCGACTCCGTCGGCATGGAGTGCCCTCGAGGCGTCGAATGACTTCTACGTGGCGCAGGGTGACATCCAGTGCGCCTTTTATCACATGAAACTGCCGCCCCAGCTGCACCGATACTTCTCCTTGCCAGTGGTCCCGAATCGGTACGCGGGTCTCAAGGTGATCAATGGTGTCAAGATCCCGACGAAGGCCTTTTTACAGCCGTTCGTGTCAGTGATGCCGATGGGTTGGTCGTGGGCTCTTCACTTCTGCCAGTCGGCTTTAACCACGGCCATTCGCGACGCGGGGATCGATGACGATGCGATGCTGGTGGGCGGTGCAGCACCTCGTCCTCTGCGAAACGATACCGACATCATCGCAGCGGGTGACGTGGACAACTTCGCCACCGTGTCTCTCGATCCAGAGGTTGCCACCGCTTCGTGCCAGGCCATCCGCGACGTGCTGGTGGCGAGGGGCCTGCCCATGGACGAGTTCGCTCCCGCGGCGCCTCGCGTCATCTTCACAGGCCTCGACATCCTGGGCGACGTGGGCGTCATCAGGTGCAAGGTGGACCGGTTGTGCAGGCTGCGCCAGGCCCTCCTCGGTCTACTCAGACGAGGCTATGCATCGCCGCTTACGCTGTCCGCCGTGGTCGGTCATTGCACCTGGGGGATGATCACCAACAGGCCCATGCTGTCGATCTTCCATGCAGTCTACCGCTTCATGGGTCAGGACTCCCGTCGGGCTTTGCCGCTGTGGCCGTCAGTCGTCGCTGAGCTTCGCGCTGCTGCTTCCCTCATCCCTTTGTGGTGGGCTGATGTCAGGGCAGAGTGGGCGGCCACCACTTTCTGCAGCGACGCCTCTCCCTACGGCATTGGCGTCTGTCGCAAGACCGTCGAGCAGGACGTGGCTGCAGCCGCAGGGCGATTGTCGGAGAGATGGCGCTACCGCTTCTCCGATGCCGTGCGCGCTCGTGCGCACGCTTTGGGAGTCGACCCGAACGTTGTGTTGGAAGCGGCCGTGAGCAAAAACTGCCTCAAAGATTGCGAGCAGTGCCCGAGGCCTCCCGAGACCCATAGCAAGCCCCCGCTTACCGCATTATCATCACATCGAGGGATCGACGACGTTTCGCTGGACGGCTTCGACGAGGTTCCCGACTCGATCACGGCTCTCGACGGCTGGGCTACGATACACAGCGCACGTCATGCTAGGTTCGGTCTGGACATCATGCGATACGAGGCGGAGGCTCTCGGATTTGCGATGCGACACTCGGCTCGGTCTGGACGGCTTCGGCATCATCGCATCCTGTTCACCGTCGACAATTTGGCTCTAGCCCTCGCTGCTGGCAAGGGACGTTCTGGCGCCCGAGGGCTTCGTGATCCGCTACGTCGCCTCTGCGCCCTGTCGGCAGCCTCAGGCATTCGTCACGCAGTGCGATGGGTCCCTAGTGAAAGCAATGCCGCTGACTCGCCGTCGAGGGCAGGCTTCTTTGTCGGGCCGACCTTTGATGAGTACCGGGCGGCGGCCCCCCGAGCTTTGCCGCCACCGAGCTTCGACATCGACGGAGCTGAGGACCAAGACGCCGCCAAAGCCAGAACGGCTCGGGCAGGCAGCGCTCTCGGTCGTCGAGTCAGCCGCCGTGTCGGACACGACCATGGTCAACGACTGGGGCGCGGTCAAGAAGTTCGAGGAGCGGGGCCGTCAGACGCCCCAGACCATCACCACAGCGGCGGAGGTCGTTGTCATCCTAGTTACCTACTTCGTGAACCTCTTTCTGGTCAGTTTCGACGACGCTACGGGCCGAGTCTTGCTCGCCTCAGTGAAGCACTACCTGCGCCCGCCTATGGCGGGCACGGCGCTGTCCACGCGTGCGGCTCGCGCCTTGACAGGCTGGCGGAAGCTCGCGCCCCCGCAGATGCGACCCTCTCTTCCACGGGCGGCGATGGCCTCCATGGTGGGCGTCCTCGGTTCGTGGAAGCTCTTCGGCATGGCAGTGTTCATCAGGCTGATGATCGACACCTACCCGACGACCAACGCGGCCTATCGCCTGTCAGCGGGCGGCGTTCTTCGACCAAGACCCGATGCCACTCTCGGATACGGACGTCTGGCCCTGATCGTCTACGGCGCCTGCTTCGATCGCCCTGGGAAGACAGAGGATCGGCATGGGGGTGCGGCCGACGACTGCCTACCTCGTCGTCGCACCAGGGAGGAGGTCAAGGACCGCGGCCAGTGGAGAACGGACCCGAGCCTCTCCCGCCACACCAAGAGGGCTCGAGTGCTGCAGCAGATTGCCACTTTAGACCAGATCCTGATCGGCCGTGGGCACGGGGTGGACTCGCTGATGAACGATCTCATGCTGCAGACCACCACCACGGGCGTCTTCTCGCTGCGACGGCCGCTTGCCGCGACGCCGACACCGCCAGCGGTCAGGCATTCGCCTCCGCAAGTGACAGCGCGGTGGGCCTCCGCCTGACACGGATTTGGCGTGCAGCCAGACGCGCGGCGACGCGGTCCAGGCACCTGCCCGCCTTGGTGATTGGCGGCGACGGCGGCGCGGCTCGCGCGCTGCAGCGCCTCGGCTTCGGCGTGCTGCACTTGAGCGTGAGACGCCAGGCCACTGATGACATCACAGATCCTTTAGTGATGAAGCGTGTGCTAGGCTGGATCCGTGCAGGCTGCATTTCGTGCGTGTGGGTGGAGCCCGACACGACTACTTGGCTTCCTCAGAAGCCCGCTGTTCGTAGCATAACTCGTCCCAACGGCCTGCCGATTTTGTCTAGCGCCCAGCTTCGATCAATTCACATTGCGAATCTATTTTGCAGTCAGTACGTGCGCCTTCTGTCACTATGTAGCAGCAATAAAGTTCCTGCCACGCTGTGTCATCCAGATGCGTCTTTTATCTGGGATGTCCCAGCCTGCGCCGCTCTCGTTAGCCAGTGTTCGCCTGCTGCTGCTTTTGATGCATGTATGTTTGCTGGCCGTGTAAAGAGAAGATTTCGATTGGTGAGCTGGCATGTTAAGGACATGAGTTCTCTTTCTGCTATCTGTTCGCCTGCCGACTCGCTCTGTTGTCGATCGGGGAAACGACATCTTGGCGAGCTCGGCATCCCATCTCTAGATCGTCAGGTCCGCAGCAAAGCGCTGCGGCCCCCCGTCAATGTTCTAAGATGTGCCTGCGACAGGATGGCTCTCAGTGTTGATTCGCTTCGCTACGTCGCTCAGCAGATCAAAGCTATGTGAACATTCAGTCAATGCGGCTTTCAGCCAGTGTGATGGGCTAGCCTAAGTACCTGGTGCATGGCGCCAGCATGCTTCCGCCGTCCTCGCCTGTTGCCGTGTCCTTTGCACAAAAAGGGACCCCCTGGCCTCGAGAGTTGCCCACATATTGCTGCCCGCGGTTTTTGTGGCTCTCTTTCGGGCCGCACTACCATTCTCAAGCTTCTCCCGCCCACCCTTTGTCCCGCTCTAGAATGCCTCTCCTGGTGCATGGCGCCAGCATGCTTCCGCCGTCCTCGCCTGTTGCCGTGTCCTTTGCACAAAAAGGGACCCCCTGGCCTCGAGAGTTGCCCACATCATCATCATCATCATCATCATCATCATCATCATCATCATCTTCATCATCATCATCATCATCATCCCCCTCCTCCTTCTCCTCTTCCTCCTCCAAGCCATCCTCCACCCGTTCCGACAGCACGTGCCCAACCCCCCCAGCGGATCCAAGGGGGGGACGATTACTGCCACATCCAGAGTATAGGACGAGGTCTGGGCGATCTGGCCAGGACTTCGAGGCGGGTCCGGCCGTGTCGGCGAGAACCCCGCGGCAGGGCCAGGGGGGGCGAGGTCGGGCGGGGCTGGGACGAGGATAGATCAGTTCCAGAGCGTTCCGGCACGCTTTTAGAGTGTTCCCGAATGCTCTGAGAAGGCCGCGGCGCCCGATACGTCCTTCAGCGCTGCTGGCTCTAAGAGATTCTCGAATCATCCTCACCCGAATTCATCCTCGTCCCGGCTTCGTCTTAGATGTTGCAACGCCCATGCCGACGGCACCTTTTGTGCTCATGGCGCCGGCGACGACGGTGGGATCGTTCCTCCCCCAGACGTCAGGCGGGCTAGTTTGTTCAATCTGAGCGCGTTTCATTTGATTTGGCTTCCGATGGGGCCGTTTTCGTGGGCCCCCGGGTCATAAAGATGGGTCGGGACGAAAAAGCGCCACTAGGGAAGGGGCCGATACCTCCGGGGGCCGCGGATTGAAAAAGCAACTCATCGGAAGTCTGGGTGCTGCTCCTGCTGAGGTTAGCCAGCGGCACCACCACAACGTCCTCTGTCTCATCATCATCCTCATCCCCCTCTCTCTATATCTCTCGGCCATAAAATCATCCTGACGTGGCCAATTCCCCCTCCAAGGCCTGTCGGCCCTGGGGGGGGATGGTAAAACTAGTTTATTTCGCGACCAGTTGGTCGGGGTTGCCTGGTAGGAGATGATTTAATTCAAGGGAAAAGGCAACAGGTGAATTGACGAATGAAGAGAACCGGAGAGGAGGAGGAGGAGGAGGAGGAGGAGGAGGAGGAGGAAGAGGAGGATGACCTCAGAATCAAGAGATGAAGGAGTGGGGATTAAAGGTTGGCGCTGGTTACGTCAAAGATAGGCGCCAGTTAGTGGAGGTGGTGTCGGCGGCGCAGGGACGGGTATGGCCAGGCCACGCCCGCCAAAGCCGAAAGGCACAAAGGCCTTTTCCCCTACCCATGGGACACCCCAAACGACGGCCCACAGTCCCGCCAAAGTAACCCTCACCCGCCGAGGCAGGCGTAGGGTTCCCGAGGTAGGAACTGGGGGCCGGCGTTCGGTTTCCACCGGGTGTGGGGGAGGTTTGTGCTTTCCGCGGCGGCGGCCGTGTAGCCAGGCGGCTGTGGTGCCAGCAGCTGCCCTGGCCATCGCCAGGGCAGCCAGCAGCTCGTTGCTCTTCCATCCCTCTCCACTGCCACCAAAGGGTCGCGGCGGTGTGGCGGTGGCGTGGTGGTGGTGGTGGCGGCGCAAAGGCAGGCGCGGCAAGCTGCGCGCGCCAAGCTGGAAAGGCACGAAGGCCTCTCCCCCCGCCCATAGGAGGCCCCAAACGACGACCCACAGTCCCGCCAAGGGAGCCCTCGCCCACCGAGGCAGACAAGGTTTCCCGAGGTAGGGACTGGGGGCCGCCGTGGGTCTTCCACAGGGTGTGGGAGAGGTTTGTGCCTTCCGTAGCGGCGGCCAGCCGAGCGGTTGCGGTGCTTGGCCAAAGTTTGGGCGGTCCAGCGCGTTGCCCGTCTTTCCCTCATCATGTGATCCTTCAGAGATACGAGTTGAGGAGGTTGGTGGTAATTGTAGGCTGAAGTTGAAGGGTGATACATAGAAAGAGGGTGGAGCAGGGTGCGCTGGCTGGATCTCGGCGTTGCGGGCCGCACCACCGTTCTCCAAGGTGGACGTCGGCGTCTGCACAACTGTTCAGTTAGCAGAGAATGCGGAAAGCAGAGTGGAGGACGATAAGGACAAGTGGCTTGATTGGCGAATCTGGCCTCGGCCTCCCAGACTGTCGCCGTGAGGCCGTTGACTATGGTTACCCGTCGCCCAACCGCCTCTACCCCATGATACCTCCCCCCCACCAGAATCGGCCCGTAACTCATAGCAGAAAGGGCGGCGGCAGCGGACAGGCTTGAGGTTGGCTGGCTGGCGGCGGTGAAGTAGGTGAGCGAGGAAAGACTGAGAGGGTAAGCAGCGAGAGCACAGCGGTGCATGCTACACAGGAGTAGCCCACTCCTTGAGCGTATCAAAATGCCGCATGTGGCACAATGCTGTGGCGGGGCTGTTACCGCGTCCGTCCTAGGCCTTGCCAGGACGGCCGTCGGCGTGGTACCTTCCCCAGTGCAACCTGACCCCGTCCCCACCCTAAGATGAAGTGTAGAAGGTTACTGGGGCGAGCGGTGGGGGAGGCATAATACTCCTCCTCCTCCACCTCTTCCTCCTCCTCCTCCTCCTCCTCCTCCTCCTCGTCCTCCTCATTATCATCCTCCTCCTCCTCCTCCTCCTCCTCATCATCATCATCATCGTCATCGTCATCGTCATCGTCGTCGTCATCATCATCATCATCATCATCATCATCATCATCATCATCATCATCCTTCTCCTCCTCCGCCTCCGCCTCCCCCTCCTCCACCACCTCCTCTCCCTTCCCCTCCTCCTCCTCCTCCTCCTCCTCCTCCTCCTCCTTCCTCCTCCTCCTCTCCTCCCCTCTCTTATCCCCCTCCCCTCTCCTTCTCTCCTCCTCCTCCTCCTCCTCCTCCTCCTCCTCCTCCTCCTCTTCCTCCTCATCATCAGCAGCAGCATCATCATGGTGCCATGGGGCCATGATGAAGATCCAGCTCCCCGTGAGCCAGCTGAAGAGGGAGGGCATCGACACCTTCCTCGGCACGCTGGAGACGCAATACTTGGAGGCGTGCGGCTTCCAGGACAGGCCCGAGCTGACGGTCCAGTTCTTCGATAGCGAAGAGGACAACGCGGATCGTGGCGAACTTGACGGAGCAGGAGCTCGAGATGCACCGAGCAGCTTTCAAGGAGGAGAAAAGGTGCGCCACGAGGGACTTCATCAACAACAACAGGGCGAAGTTCCTGCTGGGCAAGGACAAGAGCAAGGACGTGGCGAACAAGGCGAACATCACCTTGGCCGCGTCTCCGCCGAAGGACAAGAACCACATCCCGATTTGGCGATGCTTGCGGTGCCAGTTCTCGAATTTCGGCTTCAGGGGCTGCTGCATGCTGTGCGCCGAGCTCCCGCCTGCTGGAACGCAACAGCGACAGGAAGCTGTTCGGCAGGAGGCGATCCAGAGCAGCCAGACCCAGCAGCCCAACCAGAAGCAGTTCGAGATGGTGGACACCAAGGACACGGACCCGAAGGACATGGCGGTGACTTGGGACCCGTACATGACGCATGGGACGAGGGAGATAGAGGAGCAGCCGCCCCCCAAGAGAAACAGGTGGTCAGCGATCTCTCCGGCATCGAAGGAGATGGTGGGGGAGGCCCTTTTCTGGAGGAAGTGGATCTGCAGTTCAGGCGCTGGACTCCAGCGGCGCCCCCCAGTACCAGTACAAGAGGGACATCATGGACTTCGCATTCTCGGTATGGCGCAGGTCGTGCCCACCGCTCGTGAAGTTCAGCGACCCCATCGGCGATGACGGCAAGAGGGACAGCATCGAGGAGAGCAATTGCCTGGACGGTTAGTCAAGGTGACTGGAATTGGCCTGGACACCTTCGCGAGCGCGCAGGTATTCGACGTCTCCTCGGACGGCAACGGCGACGGCTTCGCGGAGATCCCGCCTTTCCCGACGCTGCTCGACGATAGCTTTGAAGAGGGTTCGGGCGCGGACCCCCAGGAGTACGACAGCAAGGAGAACCAGTACATCGATACGTGCAGCGACAAGCTCAAGCACGACTGCATGCTGCATGGAGAAGCAGCGCTTCGACATCGGCTCGGACGCGGACCCCCAGGAGTACGACAACAATGAGAACCTGTTCAGCGGCATGCACGGCATGACCAAGAAGGAGAAGGAGTATAACGGGAAGCTACACGTGATGACTTGCACCGAGGATACGGCAACGGGTGCTACACGCTCGTTTTGCCACGACACATGCACATGAACTGGGGGGCCGCGTGCGACGGAACATGGCCCTGCAACCCGGGAGGGAAAATCCATGACCACAACGGGGATCACTACAATCAACGGAACCACTTACACCGGGGACACACATTCTTGACGTGACTTTGGAGTTGCATGTGTTGCGGTGCAGCGCTACTGTGCTGCCGGGAGGGACCGCTCCCTAAAAACAGTCGCCGAGGTTCTCCCTCGAGGCCGTCAACAACGGCAACCGGCTCTACCCCCAGGAGGATTTCAAGCAGACGGTGGCGTCCATCTTCGATTTTTTCTACAGCCCGTTGCCCGATGACAGGGCCAGGGCGCTCCAGTCCATGAAGGAGCTCGCGGCCGCGCTCTAGGGCCAGAAGATCGGCAGGGTCAGGAGCCGCCTCCTGGAGGTGATGGAGGGGATCGGCATCCTGAACTTCGAGCCCGTCGTGGGCAAGTTTTGACAGGGGGGGTTCGATGGGCCCTGGGGGGGGACCGCTTCCATCCCCTCCCCGTCGCGCCTCGGGCTCCTTGGGTCCCTGGCCCTTGTGGGCCCCGCCTGGGCTGGTCCTTTGGGGCCGCGGCTGGGCCTTGGTGGCCTGGCGTGCTGCGACGGGTGATGGGTAGGGAGCGGTTCGTCCCCCTACCACGGCCCGTCCAGCAGGGTTGGGGAGAACCCGTCCGCGTCATCAGCACCCTCAGCACCCTCATCATCATCATCGTCAACATCATCATTATCATTATCACCATCATCATCATCATCATCATCATCATCATCATCATCATCATCATCATCATCATCATCATCATCCCCCTCGTTTTCCTCCACCTCATCCACCTCCTTCTCCTCCTCCTCCTCCTCCTCCTCCTCCTCCTCCTCCTCCTCCTCCTCCTCCCCCTTCTCGTCCCAGCCCCCTTCCACCAGTTTCGGCGGTGGCGGCGAGCTTCTCCTCCAGCGACGCCCTCCTTCTTTTTGTCGTGGGCGTCTTTGCGTCGCTTCGGCTTCATCCCTCCTCTTCTCCTCCCCCTCCTCCTCACCCTCCTCCTCCTCCTCCTCCTCATCTTCGCCCCCCCGCGATAGGTCGTCCCCTTTCCTCCGTGTGTATACATGTATGTATGTATGCAGGTATGCATACATGTATGTATGCACGTATGGTTGCATGTGTGTATGTGTGTACGTACGTACGTATGTATGGATGTGAATGTATGTGTGTATGTGTGTATGTGTGTGCATGTATGTGTGCATGTATGTGTGTATGTATGTATGTATGTATGTATGTATGCATGGGGTGTATGGTTGTGGGTGTGTCTGGATGTGTACATGTATGGGTGTATGCATGTATAAATGTGTGTATATGATTATGTGTGCATGGGCGGGTACATGTATGTATGTGTGTATGTATGGATGTATGTATGTCTGTATGTATGTATGTATGTGTGTTTGTATGTTTGTTTGTTTGTGTGTATGTATGTATGCATAGGTGTATGTGTGTGCATGCGTGCATGTATGTATGCATACATGCATGTATGTGTGTATGTATGGATGTATGTATGTAGGTATGCGTGTAGGCGTGAACGTATGGATGCATGCAGGTATGCATGTGTGTATGTATGCATGTGTGCATGTATGCCTGTATGCCTGTATGCATACATGCGTGTGTGCATGTATGCATGCATGCGTGTACGCATATGTACACGCGTGTATGTGTGCATGTATGAATGCATGCATGCATGGATGTAAGCACGTATGCATGTATGCGTGTATGCATAGATGCATGTACGCATGTACGCATGTTTGCGTGTATGTATGTAATTGTGTGTGCGTGTATGGATGTATGCATGTAATCATGTACGCATGTGCGCATGTATGCATGCATGCATGTATGAGTGTATGGACGGATGGATAGATCCATGCATGCATTCATGCATGGATCGATAGATGGATGGATGTATGTGCATCTGTATGTGCATGTGAGGCATTCCAACAAGAGCCTTGCCTTCGACGGTCGAAGGACTTGCCATCTCTTCCGCGGGGGGAGTCAAACGGCAGCGTTTCTGCCGGCGGAATAGCAGAAGCTCGGCGGACGCCAGCGAAAGCAAAAGTCGATGTCACAATAGATGACAACATTTTTGGGTTCAGGGTTTCCAGAATCGACAATACACACACACACACACACACACACACACACACAAACACACACAAACACACATACATACATACATATATGCATGCATGCATGCATGCATGCATGCATACATACATACATCATACAATACATAGTGACCTTCGGCCCATCCCGCCACCGCGCCTGTGTCAGAAGCCTCTGCGATGCGTGTGGGAATCTCCTGGGAGGCCTCTCGGAAGCCTCTTGGATTCGGTTTTGGGGTGTCTTGGGGGCCTCTCGGGGCTCTCTTGGGGGCCTCTTGGGCACTGATCTGGGCCTCCTGGGGGCCTCCTGGAGCCTCTGGGGGGCCTCTTGGGGGCCTGCCGACGGCCTCGGGGGCCATCTTGGAGCGAAGGGCTCGAAATATCGTTTCGCGTTCCCCCTCTGGGGGCTCTCATGGGCCTCCTTGGGGCCCTACTGCAGCCTCTTGGGCCGTCTTGGGGCGCGCTTGGGGGCCTCGTGGGCCGTCTTCAAGCGTCGAAGGCCCGAAAGGACGAGGGCACTAAAATCTGTCAAAACCGACAGGGATTTTGACATTTGGGGGCCTCTTGGGAGTCGGTGTTACTGCTGGACCTCCTCCTCCTCCTCCGCCTCCTCCTCCTGTCCCCCCGTCTCCATTACTCTTCCCTCCAACTTCCTCATCGCGCGCGCGCTCCCGCAGGCGCCAGAAAAAGAAGGACGAGGCCGACGACGACGAGGAGAAGGAGGACGACGTGGAGGAGGAGGATAGGAATAGCGGAGGACGAGGAGGAGGACGACGACTAGGTGGAGGATAGGAGGAGAACAGGGAAAAGAGCTGCTGCACAAGCAGGAGGAGGCTGGAGAGGATGGACGAGCGGGCCGACGACGACGCGGACGATGGCGACCCCAGAAGTCTCGACCCCTTCCTTGGGGGGCAGCGTTCATCCCAGATTGGGTCTTGAGGACCCCAGGGCCCGCAAACGGCACCCACAGGCCGGCCATTGCGAAACAGCTTTGTCGTTTGATCTTCGATCGATCGATCGATCGGTTGGCTGCCAGAGAGACGACGACGACGACGACGACGACGACGACGACGACGTTCCCCCACGTCCCCGGCACCCGAGGGAGCGTGCGGTCGGCGGCGCCGGCGAGGAGCCGCACGTCGAGGAGGACCGGCGGCGCCCAGGGCGCATTTGCGGGCGGCGGCGTCGCCGCCGTGGGCCTCGCCGTCGCCGTCGCTGGCATCGTCTTCGTCCTCGACGGCCCAACTCGAAGCCGCGCGGAGCGCCAAAAGTTTATGTTTGCTCCTCGTCTATGAATCGTCGTGTGCCTCGCCGCCG